TGACTCCTCTGCTTACCTGAACTCTCAGCATTCTGGACACTGATATTTGTTTAGGTTCATGCTCTCTTACAAAAAACGAGTTAACTCAAAGCATGCTTTCCATGTAATAGATGTTCGATGTACACTCTGAGTACTTGTCATACAAGTGCCAACCTTGCCAACTCAGTGTTTACTTCAGCCATGTTCTGTAGCTCCTCACTTTTACAAAGTCACTGCTGGATCTTTGGTTATGTACTTATGCTGATTCCCATTAGAAATGCAATTAAAAACCCTTATTATTATTACACAGTTCAACAAACCACTTCATGATATGGTTACTTTTTAAAAGCATCAACCAACACAGTCCACCAGTATGCTGGCCTTCAAGGGGCTGCCATAGACCTGCTTTTAGAAACCGGCCTATCTGAAAACAAGGACAAGTTGACTTTGATATTTTTAGAAGAGGCATTTGTTGTTGGCTTCTCATAACGCCAAGTACATAAATAAAAAAGACATCCTTCCTGGGTGGCAACAAAGTAGGAATCCTTAACCTCAATTCAGTGTGTAGTCTTAGACAAGTCCTTTCTTCCTCTCTGGATCTCAGCTGAAAGGAGGACCTCGAACTAGATGACAGATAAAGGCCTATCTCTAAATAGTTAAAGAAAAACACCCAAAGTAGCTAACATTCCAGAGCAATCTTCCCACTAGTTGCCTATTATTCATATGTTCAACTGCTCTAATAAAAGACCCCAAAATATCTTGGTTTAAACAAGGCGGAAGTTTAGTTTTCATTCAATAGTCCAAGTAGGTGGTTCAAGGCTGGTATGGAGGTTTGAAGATGTTAAGGGCACAGGCTTCCTGCTATCTCATTAATCCCCACCTTGTCAACATTCCAACCTGTAGGGAGAGTATGGACAGTGGGAGGTATGCGTCTTGCTTTAAGTGCACAACTTAGAAGTTAAACATATTACTTCTGCTTATGTCCTACTGGCCAGACCTAGCCACATGGCCACACCTAGTAGGAAGGGATGTTGGAAAATGCAGTCTTTACCTGGGCTATCATATGCAGCTAAAACTCCTACACTATAGGAAAATGTGAGAATAGATATGGTGGGCTGTTAAATCACCTTGTTTGTCTCTTTTTCTCCAAAGACTTCTCAGTTCACTGGTTTGCTCCTCACGGGCTGGAACCAAGTAAGAAGGTTCTTGATGAAAGGAGTAGGGCAGAGTCACTTGGCCTGGTATGGAATGGGCATAGGGCCAGCCTCAAGTGGACTTTGCCTCCTGGAGGGGCAGAATATCTGTCCTCCAAGCTGCTGTCATCTGTGAAGTCTGATCAAGCTGCTGGAGGGGGGCACTGACATATTTAAAGAAATTTTATCCTGCTGAATTCAAACTGTAGGCATTGTTTCTAAGATATTGGTAAGAACTGGTTACCATTTTCCTTTTTTGTGCATTTATTTGTATCGACATGCATGTTATATACCAGTATGGGGTTTTACAAAGAACATGGCTTTGGGTAGCAGATCAGTGTGACTTTAAGCAAATCTTAACTACTCTGGGCTTTAGTTTCTTCATTTGTTAAAATGCAGTAAAATTGCCAGGCACGGTGGCTCGTGCCTGTAATCCTAGCACTCTTGGGAGGCCTAGGTGGAAGGATCGCTCGAGGCCAGAGTTCAAGACCAGCCTGAGCAAGAGCAAGACCCCATCTCTACCAAAAAAAGATAGAAAAAATTAGCCGGGCATGGTGGCTCATACCTGTAGTCCCAGCCACTCAGGAGGCTGAGGCAGGAGGATTGCTTGAGCCCAGGAGTTTGAGGTTGCTGTGAGCTAGGCTGATACTGCAGCACTCAAGCCTGGGCGACAGAGCAAGACTCTGTCTGAAAAAAAAAAGCAGTAAAATCATCTAATTCAAGGAATATTGGGAGGATTACGTGTCAAGATCTTTGAAAGCACCCAGAATATTGCACATATTAGGCAATGAATATTCTTTTTATTAATGCCAACAATAACATGGAAACTCTATTAAGTGTCTTTTATCTATGTGCTAATTACTATGCTAGCTTCTACATAAAGTGCTCGTTTGCACATACACAACTTTCTTCTAGTAGGAACAGTTTGGCCAGGACACTATAGCTGAGGCTGGGCATTATCAAAACTATAATGACTAGAGACTAATCATCCCTGTCTCTGTCAGTTGCTCCAGATTCATAGTCTTAGGAGAGGGGGAAGAGGGAGGATCTTTATCCTTCAACTTCTGTAGTTGAACTTGAACCTGGGTGCTGTGTCTCACCAATATCTCACAACTTTGGGAAATCACTTTCAAATAAGAGGATGAGTGGTGGACAGCAAACAAGTAAACCAACAAACAAAGCAATGTTCCTTATAACCTCCCACACAGTGTCTTTCAAACTGTAGGTGATGACATATTATTGAGTTGTAAGGATAATTTTGTGGATGCATGATTAGCTTTTTGGTTTAAATTTTAACAGCTTCATTGAGGTATAATTGATACAATTTCACATGTTTAACATGTAAGATTTGATAAGTTTTGACACGAGTACACCTGTGAAAGCATGAACACAATCAAAATAATGAACATAACAATCACCGCTCCCCCAAATTTCCTCAAGTTTCTTGGTAATCTCTTGCCTATGCCCTACCCTGTCTTCTACCCTGTCCCCGTCCCCAGGCAACCATTGATCTTCTATCACTACAGATTAACTTGCATTTGCTAGCATTTTCTCTAAATGGAATCATACAGAATGTGCTCTTTATTTGTATGGGTTCTTTTATTCACCATAATTATTTTGAGATTCATCCTTGTTGTTACATGTTTCAATAGTTCATTCCTTTTTGTCGACCAATTGTATTCCGTTGTATAGATATTATACAATTTGTCTTTCCATTCACCCACTGATGGACATTTGGGTTGTATGATGATCAGTTTTATGTGTCAAACTTGGCTAGGCTGTGGTCCCAGTTATTGAATCAAACACTGGTCTAGGTGTTGCTGTGAAGATACTTTGTAGAAGTGATTAATGTTCATAATGGGTTGACTTTAAGTCAAGGAGATTATCCTAGATCATATTGGTGGGCCTGATTCAATCAGCTGAAAGGCCTTAAGAGCGGAACCAAGGCTTCCCCGAGGAAAAACAAATTCCACCTGTGGACGGCAGCTTCAACTCACGTCCAGAGTCCCAGCCCACTCTTCCCGATGGCCTGCCCTATGGACTTTGGACTTACCTATCCAGCCCCACAATTACATAAATCAATTCCTTGTAATAAATACCTTAATATATTATATATGCTTTACTGATTCTGTTTGTCTGGTCAAACGCTGACTGATATAGGTTGTTTCCAGTTTTTAGCTATTACAAATAAAATGCATGTGAACATTTGTGTACAAGTCTTTGTATAGATGTACATTTCTTGTGGATAAATACCTCAGAGTGGAATGACTGAATTATATGATAGGTTTCTTAAGTTTTAACGAAACTGCTAAACTGTTTTCCAAATTGGTTTACCATTTTACATTTTTACTAGCAATATATAAAGCTTCTGTCTTTGCTACATCTTCACCAACACTTGGTATGGTTGGTCTTTTTAAATTTTAGACATTCTCGAATGTGAGGAGTGGTTTCTCATTGTCGTTTTAATTTCCATTCCCTTAATGACTAATAATGTTGACCATCTTTTTGTGCATTTATTTGCCAAATGTTTACCTTCTTTGGTAATGTGTCTGCTCAAATCTTTTCCCCATTTAAAAAATGAGGTTATTTTCTTATTATTGAGTTTGAGATAATTCATGTATTCTAAACACAAGTCCTTTATCAGACATATAATTTGCAAATATTTTCTCCCACCTTGCTTTTTCATTCTTTAGCGGTATCGTTAAAAGAGAAATTTTTAATCTTTGTGAAGTCAAATTTATCAATTTTTTTCTCTTATAAATCATGCTTTTGGTGTCATATCTAAGAAATTTTTGCCTAATTCAAGGTCACAAGCATATTCTCCTATATTTTTGTCTAGAACTTTTACAGTTTTAGGTTTTATATTTAGGTCTATGATCCATATTGAGTTAATTTTTATATACAGAGTGGGATATGAATCAAAGTTCATTTTTGTGCCTTTGGATATCTAGTTTTTCCAGCACCATATTTTGAAAAGTCTATCCTAACACTCAATTGCCTTACCGATTATCAGGTGAAGAAGGGCATAAGCGATAACTATAACCAGGAGGATTGACAGGGTGAAATGGACTGTCGCCTTGCACACAATGTTCGATGCAGGGCTGGGTTACAAAAGAAACATAGGACCTCTGAGTGTAGAGCTATTAGTTGTACCCTGTAGGTGATCCGAGAGCCCGGCTTCTCCAATTCAGAAATCACGTACAGAAATACTTGTACCAAATGAGGTTTAGGCTAACACACCCAGCAGTAAGACAAATTAACAGAAGAGGCAATAGCCTGGGGAAATCCTCACTAAGGAGTTGTCCCTCTATCCTAGAGACAGAACAAATCACCAAAGAAAGATTAGCGAAAAGATCGCAATTTTGATGTTTGTCTTTTGCTCAGATACTTTAGATCGCCTAAAGGCTGGCCCCTCCCCTGGGGGCTACACCTCTTTACTTTGGTATGATGGACCCAAGGTTTTACTTACGACAATTTTAATGAGGTGTGAGTTGTTAGAGGCACTTCATAGGGTCCCTTCCACTTCTCTGCTTCCAACTGGGGAAGGGACCTGGAAGAGGCAAACTCATGTACTGTGGTTAGCACCAGACCCACTCATCTGACATACTGTTTTACTTATGGTTATGTTACCATACTTACCTCAGGGTGCTAGGAAGGGTCTCTCATAAACTATTTCTTAGGGGCTTAGCTTAAGCCTGCTTCTAAAGAGCTACCTTCATGCAGAGGAGGGCAAGCAGGAATATCCTATCCCACTTTAGATGGGTTTCCTGTATCAATCCCAGGATACATGCAATTTCTATTCTTTGTTTACTTGCTGGGTTACCTCTGCTACAAAGGAGGGTCTATTATCACTCTTGTGAAATGTCCAGGGCTCCGTGGAGTGTGCTCCCAGGTCCCGTTGGCAATGGGGTGTCTGTCGATGTCCTTGCTGTAGGAGGAGGAGCTGCTGAGCCATCTCTGTTGCTGTCTGTCCACGGCCTCCGTCACCAGCATGTTAGTCTCCATTTGCTTGGCCTCTTTTCCTGGACTGTCGATGCCCCTCATCCCATCATCCTCCAAGGCCTGTTCCTGTATGCATGCAGGAACTCCGTGTAGGCCCTGTCAGCTCCTGGTAGAAGCCCATCTCAGAGTGAGTTCCTCCGGAAGGATTCTGGTGACCTCAGATGCTCCTTTCTTCCCTCCAGGCAGGACAAGCCTCTATCCAGCCTTAAAAGGTATCCACCAGTAGAAGACTAGGCATCTGAGTGAAACTGCCAATCATCGAAAGGGTGGACCCCCACATGTTGGGCTCCCTGTGTAGTGGGTTGCCTTTCTGTCCTTGCACCGCCCCAAGCACACAAACAGTTAGTTGTAAATGGGGTCCTCTCAAATGAGGTCCCACCAAATCCATCAAGGCCTCACGCTCCCAATGTGCGTATTCATGTAGGTGCCTCATAAGAGGCTGAACCAAAGCTTTGAGTAGGAGATGAGTCTATGAGAATTCTGTCTCCATTTAGCTGTGCCATCCCAAATGTCAGAGCCCCAGTCTTTAGTTTTTAAGGGATCTAAATCTAGCAGGGTATCAAGTCCATGAGCAACAGATCACCACCAGTGGCCTCCTTAAGCTCTGCTAGTGGCCTGACTTCTCTTTGCCATGCTGGCCACCTGCTTGGGCTCAGCCATGGCCTGTACTGAGGCCGAGTCCAAACCCCTTGTTTATGAGAAAAAGAGTATGAGGTCCAGAGATAAGTTGGGGGTAGCTCCAGGTGACCAGCAAGCTCATAGCAGAACTGAGAACATAAACCAGATCTCCTGAGCTTTATGTTCGTCCTACCAAACAATATTAACTTTCAGAAGAGTGGCTTCCCAATTTCTTAGATCACAATTCAGAGGAAAAAAGTACATTTTACACTGGACACAAAATTTACATGAAATAATACTTTGACATACTGCATTCACCCTACCATTTCCTATTCTGTTCTCTGAAACCAAATCAATCAATCAATAAACAAACCGTCAGGGGCAGAAGCCACAGATAAGAACTGAATGAAGCCAGCTGGAGAATGTAACGCCTGAGAGGGGTGCCACATGAGAGGCACTTGGGTGCCTACCACACGGAAGTCAGAAGAGGCCAAATCTGCCCTAGTTACACTAAACAGCCATACCTGTTTCCCCTAATTGCAACATCACACTGTGCCCATTCTGGAGAAATCAGAAGTGTTAGATGACAAAGACAGAAGAGCAGACAGAGCTCAAGTCCCTCTGGCCACAGGACATGCCTGAGTTGCAGGAGTCCAAGGAAAAAATTCCTGAATTGGATATGAAGTTGAAAACTGTAAGTAGGACAAGACTGGATGGAACTTGGTGTGACATAAAAGTGGCTAGAAGAACAGGGACATTGCACACACAGCACCATTCAAGGGAAGAGAAGCTGGAGCTAATTTAAAATATGAGCTGAAGAAGAAAACATTTCACGTTTGCCCCCTATGTTCAGATCCCTCAATAACCTCTCTACGTTTGTCAGTCCTCAAAATTCTGTTACCCTCGTGCTTTAATCTTCTTTCTCTAAAGGTCACTTCTTTGGAGAACTGTACTATTAAAAATTAAGTATCAGTTTTATGCTCCCTCTTGAATCTATATTCCTGTCCTGACTTCTTTGTCTTCTTTTCTGTGATTTTCAGCAGCCTAAAACAGGATTTCTCAACCTTGGCACTATTCAGATTTTGAACCAGAGAAATCTTTGTTGTTGACGACTCTCCTATGCAGTGCAGGATGGTTAGCAGCCAGATACTTGTAGTAACCCGCTTGTTACAGTAACGCAGCTGTGACCATGAAACATATCCCCACACATTGCCGAATATCCCCTGGGGGGCAAAATCACTCTGAGTTGAGAAACACTGGGGTATAGAAATTGTTTTTTGTCTTTTCGGGTTTTTTTTCGGGGGGGATGATCTTGTTTTCATTTTAAACTCATTGTCCCCAGTTTCAATGTTATTATTCTAAACTGTCTCTCTATTGCCAAATCATGTTTGTGTCAATGGTATCACCGTCCTTAAAGTCATTCAGGGTATCAGCTTTGAAGTCGTCTGATCTTTTCTTTTTTTTTTTTTTATTGTGGAAAAGAGGTTTATCTTTTTTCCAAAAATTGCCCCAAAGTGAGGCAAAGCTCTAGCGGATGCGGGCGTGTTGTGTAGGCATGAGCAGTACTGCCCTCACTACTCATTCATGGGACAGTAGCGCTACCCCAAGACAAGGATGGTTTATTTTTTAATATCTTTCACT